CCGCATTGTGCCGCTGCAGAGGGGAGAGCAGGCACTGGGCACGGCCGGTGAGTGGCGTCCATGCAACCTCAGTGCACTGGGAGGGGGGGACACAGAGTAAGAGTACCCAGTGCTGGTGCTGCATCATCCCCCGGGGGGGTTCCACTGCACCCCCACATGCCAGCCCCACACTGTGACCCCCCACCCCACGCCCCACACCTGGCTGAGCTGGGCATCAGCGGGGTCCAGCCCATGGTGCCGGTGTTCCCTTGCCCAGGATCCTGCAAACCCCAGCTGCTTCCCTGGGTCTGGGTCTGCAGAGAGGAGGAAAGAGGCACTGCTGGTCAGGAGAGGGCAGAGGGTCTTAAATCCCTGGGGGGGGGGGGGCAAAATCCCCCCCCCATTGGCAGGGGGGGATGAACACCCCTGTGGGGAAAGGAGGGCAGCGGGCAGCAGCCCTGGCTTCTTGCACCCTGGGCTTGCAAACTGCCCCGTTACAGAGTGGCTGGGATGAGCCCATCCCCAGCAGCATGGGAGCAAAGCCGTGTTGGTCTGGGACTGGGGGAGAGCCAGGCACCCCCGTGCTCCGGGTGCAGTGCTGGGCACCAGTGCAAGCCTTACTGTGCCTCTAGCCTTTGCAGCCAGCCTCCTCTGGCCCCGTGTCTGCCGCCTGGGCCTGCAACACAAGGCAAGGCAAGGGTAACACGGTTCTAGAAGGCCCCATGAACTCATTAGGCTTCAGAGTGAACATGCCAAGAACCCACCCCCCCAGAGCCATGGTACCAGGCTGAGGGCTGCAGCACAGAGGTGACAGGCAGATTTGCAGGTGCTGCAGGGCACGGAGGTTTGCCTTGTGTTAAAGTTGAGCCACTGGCACGCTCGCTGCACCTGGGCCCTCCCGGTGCTGAGGTCCCCCACCCCAGACCCAACCTGTGCTCACCTGGCCGAGCTGGGCTGGGGCAGGCAGGACTGCAGGCACAGCAGCAGGTAGGCAGCAGGCAGGGCAGCAGGCAGGGCTGCAGGAAGGCAGCAGGCAGGGCAGCAGGCAAGCAGCAGGCAGGGCTGCAGGCAGAGTAGCAAGTAGGGCAGGACGCAGGACAGCAGGCAGAGTAGCAGGCAGAGCTGCAGGCAGGGCAGGCAGTGCTGTGTGTGCCTGTCTCTTGGCAATGCCACTGGCCAGTTTCAGCCTGCCCTGGGTTTCCCCTGCCCGGAGCCTCCTCCTCCTCGCCTGGGCCTCCTACTCTTGGCTACCTCCTGCCCTGGGCAACGTTCCCTGGGCCAACTCTCCTGTCCCTCCTTCCCTGGGCAACCATCCCTTGGCCAAACTCCACTGGGGCACCTCCACCCTGGATGACCCCCTCCTGCCCTGGTCTTCCTTCTCCTCTGAGCCCTCCCTCCTGGAGAACCTCCTTCCATGGGTACCCACCCCGGGCTACCTCTCATGTTCCTGCTCTCCTGGACGTCCTCCCCTGGGCAACCTTTCCTTGGACATCTCCTGCCTTGGAGAACCTCTGCTGGGCCACCACCTTCCCCCCAAGCCACTGTCCCTGGACCATCTCCTCCTCCAGGCAACCTCCCCCATGACCCTCCTCCCTCCCCAAACAACCCCTTCCCCAGGGCCACCTTGTTCTCTGGGCCACCTCCCATAGCCTTCCTCCTCCTTTGGACAACCTTCCTGAGGCCATCTCCCCATCTCCTCTCCTAGGTCTCCTCCTCCTCCTCTGGGCCACCTCCTGTGGTCCCTTCCCTGGCCACCTCCCCTGCCACCCCCCAGGCCCCCGTGCGTGCCCAGCACTCATCCCCCCAGGGTTCCTTTGGGACCCCCCACCTGCAGCCTTGAGGAGCGAGTGACAACCTCAGCAGTGCGGCTTTTAAAACTCCCGAATCCAAGTTTTATTACCATGTATAAGAGGGATCACTCACAATATAGCGTTCAAAAAGAAATACATTCAACAGCATTTACAGTGGAATGACATTAAAACCCCCTGCGGGAGGGAACAGAAAGACCAGGAGATGGTGCTCTGGCAAAGTGTTGCCGCTAGATGATCTCTGGAAGATACAGCAATTTTTAAAATTAGCCTAAAACCCAGGGGATTTCTGGTTTGGGGGGGGATTTCTGGTTTCGGGGGTGCTCCTCACACTCCCCCGAGCACCCCTAAGCTGCGCGGGGTCCATGACGGTGATTTCTAGACAGATGTGGCGATGGGGGCTACATCAGAGAGGACCTCTCCAGGATCCCAGAGCCCAGCAGGATCCTTGGTGCCGGCAGTTACTGAGCAACACCTCCCCCCCGCCCTCCTCCGCTGCGGGAAGGCTCGGATTCTGCTTTGGGGCCAGCCTGCGCAGGAGCCGCTCCCCTCCCCAGGCGCTCAGGGCAACGCTTGCATTGGAAAGCAAACAAGGAAAATAAGGCATTTTGAAGAGCTCGGTTTCTACCCCATTTTACCAAACCTCTTCAGGCCATGAGTGGGAGCAAAGCTCCCCCAGGGCAACTTTGGTTGCCATCATGAACCAAGTGGCATGAAGGTTTAGTGAGGAGCATCCTCCATTCTCGCAGGGAGGTGAAAGCCCGGAGGAGATCGCACGCCCTGGGGCCGGGACACCTGGCAGCTCCCAAATGCAGGAGTTTGGATCATTTCAGAGCCACACCAGCTTTACCGAGCCACAGAAAAACTTCCGGGAAGGGTCAGGAAGAGCGAAGATGCCAGACCAGCTGCGGCAACACCCCAAGAGCCAGGCTTGGAGCATTGCGCTCCCAAATGCAGGGGATACCGAGCGCCACCCTTCAAACCTCACACGCATCGCTTCTGGAAGGGAATATCCTGGCAACATCTTTTGAACACAATCACATCTGGCTTTGGAGCAAAATGTTGCTTCTCTGCTTTGGGAATTACTCAGTCACCACCGTCCCTACCCCCTGCCTCCGGGACGCGCCTAGGGAAATTGTACTTGTGCTACAAAAACTCAGACAGACGCTTCTGCCTTCATAAGATCAAAGGGTATATTGACATCATTGGGTGTTGCCACTCCAACAGCCGCTCACTACTGTTGCGCTGTACGAGGTCTATATATACTGTACACGTAGGTTTGCTGTAGGAAACAGGTACGGAGGTGCTGGAAGAGAAGCTGACCAGGAGACGGATGGTTATGGAACCTGATTGCATAAGTGTCCCATGTGCAGCCTGGGTATTCCAGGTACCATTGCCTCTAAGTTCATTATTGCTAATTATCTTCCAATGTGGATGTGCCAGTCCGGCCAGGGGTGGCCTCTGACCCCCCATGGGCAGCACTCAGTACGGTGTGATGAAGACCCGGAGAAGAAGACATCAAAAATGAAATCCGATGGGGCAAAGGCGGATGTCCAGGTCTCCCCGATACTCTCCGACCCAGCGAATCCCAGCTTTGGGGTCCTGCCACCCCCATCCTCCACTTCGGCGCTGGGGACCAGCAGTACCTGCCTGCGTGGCTGGTGTCTGAGCACCGCTCGCTCCTGGTCCTCGCCGATCATCAGCAGGACTGGCTTTGCTCCGCTCCTCCCGGCGGGTCCAGGGCAGCAGCAAGGCGATGGCAGGCAGGGGGGGCAAGCGGGGGGCCCCGTGCTCAGGCTGCTCTGGTGGTGACCTGCAACTGCTCCTGGGAGAGACTGGCCACCGGGGAGCTGGGCACTGGGCTGCGGGTACCCTCCAGGCTCAGCCTGGGACCCCCCATGCCAGGGGACCGCGGACCAGACCTGTCTGGCTTAACAGGGAAGATGCGAGGATGGGAGACCCGGGCTGCATCCCAGGGAGGCTCCGTCCCAGCAGCACCAGGGCATTTCACCCCTTCCCTCCTGCCCGGCCTCAAGCAGAGCTCAGCAGGGAGATGCTGCCTGCAAAGCTGGCTTGGAGGTCCAGGCTCCTGCCTGCCTCTGGCCTGCAACAGGACGGAGCGAGAGAGAGCCCATACACAGACCCTGGAGCATCCCTGGCCTACAGACCTCTTCCCTCTGCGCCTGCTGAGCGCTCCCGACCTCAGCAAGGCCCTTTTCCCCTTCGGAGGCAGTTGCAGGAAAACCAAACCAAACCTCACCACTCAAATCACTCTCATGAAGCATCGTGTTAAAGAGAGCCCTAAGTTTCAACTAAACACGGCAGACTGCAGGGAGCCTGCTCAAATGCTTCTTAAAAAAAAGGGGGGGGGGGCAAAAGAAAAAAGTCACCAGCTGAAATATCCAAATTGGTGTTACTGGGATGACTGGGCACTGTGGGAACCACCAAGAGCCTCCAGGATCAAGTGCCATGGCCCCTGGAGACAGTCGTCTGAGCATGACACAGAGCCGCTCGTGTCCGTCTTGGAAGGAACCTGAACCAGGAGCAGGTTTTAAAAAAAATAAAAAAAAAAAAATTCCATAAAGTCCACACACAAATGGGGAGGGGAGGGGAAATAATATGAAAGAAAAGAGCTCACACAAATGCACAGCATCCCCACAATGTGAGCATCTTTGGAAGTCGACGTCTCAGCCGATACAGCCAAGGCGTTGAAGGATATAGGCAGCAACTCCTGATAGCAATAAATACGCTGGGCTAAAACCAAACCAGGTTCACGTGTCCTTGTCCCGAATTAGTTGCTGAAAAAGCCGTCATTGAAAAAAAAAAAGGATGCTATTTCTTAGTGTGTAAAAAAATAGGTTTGGAATCCCTGTTTAGGTTTTCTTTTCAAATTTCTGCAGGTATTGACTCTGTGTATGTATTTGCACTGTTAAGTGCCAGCGGGACGCTGCCGGTGTGTCCTTGCTGTCCCTCTGTCTGTCCCAGTGAACTGAGGCGCAGGGCCGGCCACCCTGGTGCAAGGGCAGCGGCTCAGAAGATGTCGGGGCACGTACTCCAGTCCTGCTTGTCCTTGGCCTCCCAGTAGCCGCCCTTATAGACGCAGATCAGCTCCCCTGTCACGGCATCCACCTTGCGCTCAAACCACAGTGGGATGTAGCCTTCGTAGTCCTTGCCTGTCCGGGGACGAAGAGGGGGTAAGGGCTGCTTTTCCCGGCGCGTCCTGTGCTTCCCCCAGCCGCCCAAATTGACGCAGGGTCCTTCCCTCATCCCCCGAACCCAGCAGGGATTCTTCGCCGCATCCCCCTCCCACAGCAAGGGGTGGGCAGTCCCTGCCCGCCGGCACCCCCAAGCATCTCACCTTCCTCCAGGGCTTCCACGGCCTCAGCCTCTCGCCTCCGGCGCACGGCTCGCTGCTTCTCCTCCAGCCGCTGCTTCTCCACGTTGGCCTCGTCCCAGCGGCCGCTCTCCATCAGCCGCTGGTCGGGTCTCAGCCGGCTGTCCGTGGGGGCCACCCGGTCCTCGGGCTCGTTCAGTGTGAGGGCCAGGTCAGAGAAGAAATACATGTTCTCGGCGTTCTCCCTGCGGCCAAAGAGCCCCAGTCAGGACGGCGGAGGTGGAACCTACCTCCAACAGAGCTCTCCAGCCCTTCACATCACTGCCTCTCACCCCAGCCCTGGTGATGCTGCTCCTGTTCCCCCAAAGCAGATGCGCAGGGGTCCCTTGGGGAGCCCTGCCTCCCACCCTCTCAGTGGAGATGCCAACGCCACCACAGTGGGTGTCTCAGCGGGGAACAGAGCCCCCTCTGCCATTGGCTCCGTCTGGGGAAGCCAAAAGCCAAGCCTCCGAACTCCGAGCGCTGCATTGCACAGCCAAGATGCAAACCAGCTTCAACCCCAGAACTGCTGCATCCCCCCACTACAGAACGGGTGGCACCAAGCAGAGGATGCTTTCCACTGGGGACCGTTCCAACAAAGCATCTCCAAAGCATGGACCAGCTGTTGGTGCTACCAAAGGTTGGAGATTGGTTTGAGAGCAGCCCCGCTGTTGGGAAAAGCATTGAGAAAGGTCCCCGGAGTGCTAAAGCGACTGGTGGGACAGGATGGCCAGGGCCTCAGCAGCAAGGCAAAGCAGCCAACACACCTTCCTGCCACAGACAGCAGCCCAGAAAAACCTAACCAGTACCCCCAGCTGCCCAAAACCTACCTGCAAGGGCTCCCCAAAGCCACCCTCCCCTTGCAGGGACCTGCTCTCCCCTCCTGCCGTGTGCTCACACCCCAGAAAAAGCCACGCAGCCACACAAGCCCTGGTTCCCTTCCCATGTCCTCAGGGCTGGGCACATGAGCCCCCTCCATCCTGTGGGGCTCAGGGTGACACCATCAATCCCCATCCGGCTGTTGCACACCCAAGCGCAGCACCCTGCGCCGAGGAGGGGACTCACGGGAGCGGGTACTTCTTCCATAGGACCTTTGGAGACAGTGTCTGGTAGACAGTTTTCTGTTTGCCCTCTGTGCTGGTGCTGCCGTGGCTACTCTGCACTATCTTGGAGCACTCCATCTTCTCGTCCCACGTGCCGGACATGACGTAGTGGGCTTTACCGTCCGCATCGCTCACCACCCCTGTCACCTAGCAGACAGACATGGCTCTGGTGGCATTTGAAAGCTCCCAGAGGACAGGGAGGGGTGCAGGGGGGCAGGACAACCCTCCAGGTGCCCATGCCAGAGCAGTAGGACCTAGCACTGAGTGTCCTTGGGGAGCGTCGGCCCACCCCGACCATGCAGGCGGGTCTCCAGCCCAAAAAATCCTTTCCCCACCTCAGTGCTTGCAGCTCTGGCACATGAAGAGCCAAAACGCAGGCTCTGCTTGGACATGGCTGGTCTCCCCCCAGCCCTCCCATGGTGACCCACGTCAGAGGTGGCCCCATGCTGGGGCTCACCCCAGCTGCAGTACGGGGACCCCAGGAGCCCAGCTTAGGGGGAAGAGCCAGGTCTCACCCCGCGCAAGGCTGGCAGAGGGAGCAGGGGGATCCCTGGATACGTACCTTCCGGGGGACGTCCCTGGAGAAGTAGCTGTAGGGGGTAAATTTCAGCTGGCATTTATCTTTTGACTTATGGTTAACAATCTCTATCTCACCAGACTAGATGGAAGACACAGAACCACAGCGAGTGAGACTTTGCAAGGAGACAAATCAGGCATTAGTTGTAGTGCAGGTACAAATCAGCGCCGGCTGCAGCATCCCTTGTGGCTGCAGCCACCATGCCAGCCGCCCCCGCCAGCCCCGCACCTCGCCAGCAGCAGGCAATGGGGGTAAGACCCATCACGCGCATGGCCACCCCGCCCCATGGAGCTGCTGGCCTTGGGAAGGGCCATTAGAAGCTCCAAGAAGCCTCCCCGCCATTCCTACCAGGGAAGCACACCTTCCTGTAGTGGCAGGAGTACGGTGGGGACACCAGGCAGACGCCCCCAGAGGGCGATGCCGGCCCCTCTGCCCTTCCCTGGAGCCAAGGCGAGGCCAGGCCTGACCCGTCACCTCAGACCGGTAGCCACCGACCTGGTCAATCCAGAGCTTGCCCACGATGATGTTGTGAACGGTGGAGGTGACTTTCCTCCAGACATAGTGATTCCCGCTGGAGTGGAACTCGAGGTGGATGGTGCCTGTGGAGAGAGGAACAGCCCCAAGCTCGGCGAGGGCAGACGGCTGGGCCAGGCTGTGGGCACACTCCCCCAGAGCACAACAGCACCCCAGCACCGTGCTCGTCCCTGGAGCTGACCTGCCCCCTCCACCTGCGTCTCCCATCATCAGCCCCCAACCAGGGCTGGGTCTAGGTTCATCCCTCCCCTTGCTGCACGCTCCGCTCCGTGGTCTGCTACAGTCAGGGAGCTGCAACACCTGCGAGGCTCTTTACCCCCCCAAAAGCACTAATTTTAAAAGCAGGTCAGAAACGCGCTGCCTGGTTGACTCTCAGTGTCATGAGACCAGCCAGGCACCGGCACAGCACTGGGACCAGCCCTGGGCGCGCGGACCAGCCCAGGGCCAGGCAGAAGACAAATAAAACCTTGGAAGGAGGCAGCATATTGCACTTGGCTGCCAGGAAGAGGGTTAAAACAGGCAGCAAGACAACCTTTAAATATCGCTTCAGGAGAAATCAATTCATGGGAAACCAGGGTATTTCCGAAGCACATCTGCTGTGGTGCCAGCGGCCAGCAACGCAATCTCCCTTTGCAGCTGGCGTAATTTCCATTTCCAGGACGGACAAGTTACCGTAGGATTGTCTGTGATCGGGAGCACAAATTTGCACTCCTGCGTTGTGCGGGGTGGAATTTGCTGAGCCCCACATGAGCCCAAGGGACCGGCACGTTGCTTTAACCTCTGGGCTACTGCATGAGCAGCGCAGGAAAAAAAGCAAGCCCTGCTCCTCCCGGCATAAGTCACCTACCCAGTGGCATGATGGAGAGGTATTTGCCCCTGAACTTGCTGGCGATTGTGATTTCCTGCCACAATGTCCACCCTCGCCTGGAGTAGACGTGATGGGCGGCTGCCGGGGGGTGGTGGCTCACCTGGGGGAGAGGAGAAACAGCCCGTAAGGAGAAAGAGCCCTGTAGTGCCACCAGCACCCAAGAGCCCTGGCGAGCACTCGGCCATGGCAGTGTGACTCCTAGGAGAGGTGACAGCTCCACACCAGCTTTGGCCTTGGGGATGCTCCACTGTGATGACCTGAGCCACCCCATCTCCTCCCAGGCGTTGGGGTGACTCCCCATGAGGTGCCCCAGCAGCACGTGGAGGTGCACTGAGCTCCTGCCAGGATGCTCTAAGGCTCACGAGCAAAGCATCAGCTGTAAAAACCTTAACTTGAGCGACTACGGCTGTGAGATGACGCTGGGCTGTGACCCCAGGACACAGTCCCACTCTCCAGGGATCCTGGCTGAGAAATGGGGATGTGCCGAAACCCAGTAATCCCAGTGCAACAGCACCTCTCCTACCAGCAGCAGCTCCCGCTGCTCCGCCTGGGAACTCCCAGGGGACACAGCTCCCTGGGTTGTCCCAGACACATGGACCTGCCCGGCCAAGACTTTGGCTTTGCTCCTACAGACACACTAGGCTGGAAAAGCAGATACGACATCCTCTGTCCACGAGGAGGACTCGTAGAAGTGCGGTGCTCACATTCTCCCGCACGGGAAAAGCTGTCCAAAACCAAGGTGGGAAGGGGCCCTCCCAGCCAGAGGGCTTGGCCCTCGCAGGGGGTCTCACCCAGCCAACCCGCGGCGCTCCAGCACAGCACACGCCACCGTCACCGGGAGCCCCCCAGCCACCGGGCCCCAATGGCCACACCACTGAGCTCGGGGATTATTTGCACTGCTGTAATTACAGGCTGAGAGCCCCGAGCTATGGGATTACAAACGTGAGCAGAGCAAAAACCTCTCCATTAAACCCCACTGTCACTGGCAGGAGAAAATCCTATTTGGATAACTGGATTTCAGGCACAAGATGATCAACGCTTTGCTAAGCGCATCGGCAGGCTGAGCGGCACATGCAGCACCCAAGGGAGGTTCGGAGCAGTGGGAATGGCATCCGTCTGTCCATCCCATGCCACCCGCAGCGACACAGCACCGGGGCAAGAAGCGCTGGCAATGCTTCACCAGTGCAAAGCCATGCTGTCACCCAACGTGCCCTTCGAGATGGCTCTGGGAGGGAGATTTAGAGGCTCTGCTCATGAACCGAAGGCTCCAGAGTGCTGCAGTGGAGCAGGTTCGCTCCAACTTACACCAAACTTAATTTTGGATGAATCTCATGTGCCAGGCCAGCGAGGGAGGGACTCGAGGACCAGGCAGGAGGGCTGCACCCAGGAGTTCAGCCCGGCCTGTGGCTCAGCCAACGTGGAGGTGTCAGAAATACCAAATTTGGGTATAGACACAGGAAAACTGGGACCAACTGGAAAAAGTAATTCAGGGCAGGTTATTTATCTGGCAGGGGACAGGGATGGAGGGAGAAGGGTGGTGAAAAGGAGGGTGAAGGAATGAGGAAAGGGATGGCAAGGTGTGGGAGCGATGTGGTCAGGGATGCCCAGCGGTACCCGAGAGGGTTCAACATCGCAGCCCGAATGAGGGTGATAAACCCGACCTGTTCTTCTGACAGCACCCCGGGATGATGCGGGGTGTTGCTGGCAGAGGGACGGATCGAGCATCCTGGTAAGGAATCATCTCCTTCCTACAACACCAGGCTGAGCAGGGTGACAGCCCAGGGAGACAGGACACCAGGGGGGTGTTGGAGAACAGACACCCCTAATTTCAATCTACTGTGCATACAGCCAGCTGGGGAATTTGGCTGTGTGGCAGGACGGGGGAATTGCTGCTGGGTGAGGGGAGGTGCAGGTGTGATGCTGCTGAGGTGCAGGTGTGATGCTGTGATGAACCTGAGCGCTGCAACATTCACAGCAAAGCACCGGGGATACCTGCAGGGCTGATCTGCCTCCCAGCAGCAGGAAAAGTGCTGGGCAGAGCAGGAAGGGGGGCAAATTCTCATCTGTAGCTCATTACGCTCTGGTCGGCAGCGTCCTGGCTCGCTGCAGCCGATGGCATGAGCTCCCAAGGCTGGGACAGACTATTCGGGCATCACTGGGGACGATCAAAGCTGGCTGACATCAGGCACGCAGCTTTGGATGGCACGAAGAGACAGCAGAGACACAAAACCTGGAGATTATCGACTGAAACACCTTTCCTTTTGTCACAGGCAAGGGGCCACATTGCCATGAGACCCCACCGAGCCCGTTCACCATCACTGCTGGAGCAGCGCAGCCGAGAGACGGGATGTGACAGGAGGTGCTGTCCTGCCTCGGGCCAGAGCTTTGGCACCCATTGCCATGGGGGGGTTTTGTCCGCACCTATGTGTCTGGCAAGGAGCTGATGGCAGAGCTACAGCAGCTGCTCCAAACCTGGGTACGAAGGGCCATGACGTGGGAGAAGATGGTGATGAGGGACAGAGACAGGCTAAACCCCACCAGGGGAACACAGGGACACTGGTGCAAGCCTGAGCCTCCTCACTGCACATTCCCACCACACCCTGTCTGCATGTCCGACACCTGCTGGGAGCACCACCTACCGCAGCACGGCATGCCTGGATTAGCAGCAAGACCCTTTTCCCATGCAACGCCCCCCCTTGAAAAGCCCACAGGGCTCAGGGGCACGGTCTGCTGAAGGCTCTGCAGATCTTGGACCTGCATCAGCCTCTGCCGAGCGACAGAGGTTTGTGATTTTGCTTGATGCTTCTGAAAGACATGACAGTCAGTCTGCCCCTGAGACAGCACAGCCACGCCCTGGAGAATACGGAGCTCCCACCACCACAATGTCCTGCCTGCAAGGGGTGAGAATTGGCCCCATCCATCCCCAGGAATCCAGGACGGATGAGCCAAGTGTGCTAAATATTAAACAGTCGATTTTCTTCATAGGTCGCAACTCGTTAAGTGCTCCGGGTTTTTAATTAAGACCCACTGTTTGACTGACGCATGCCAGACGAGCTCTGTGGTCAGGGTAGGGGGCTGTCAGGTGTTCTTGGATTGCCCCCAGGCTCTGAAACTAAAAAATTTCGGTCCAACAAGAAAGAAGCAAGACCACGAGACACTCTCTGGCCCAAAGACACCCTGAAACGGAGAGGAGCTGCAGCAGAGCACGCAGGCATCGCTGACAGGGCTGGGAGGGAGCTCGGGTGAGAAAAGCTTCTCCCTTTCTGCTAAAGTGTTGAGATGTGACAGCAAGCCCAGCCCCCGGCAGGCTGCCAGGAGACCCAGCAGGGTGATGGAGACCTTTCTCCTCCCCTTTCCTTCCCCAACTCCTGCTCTGCAATGCTGGGATGGACACACTGTCCTCCTTCTTCTGAAAAATGGCCTGGGCTGTGCCCGCTGCTGCTTCTGCCAGCGCCAACAGGAATTTGCTGGTAGTCCTGGCCAGGAGCAAGGCTCAGCGTGAGGAGAGGCTGGGTCTCCTTTGGCTGGGCAGGAGCAGCAGGGCAGACGCAGAGCCCCTCCGCAGACCCCAGCTCACCTGCTCGCACAGGGAACGGAAGCCGAACTCCTCCAGCCGGTCGAGCTCATAGGTTTCCCCCAGCAGCGGGTTGAATGGCTTTGCGGTGCGGTGGACAGTCGTCGAGTAGGAAGACACTGAGAACGCAGCGACGAAGCACATTTGCTCCGTGGAGCTCTCGCACTTGACTGCTTTGTCCAGCAGCTCGTGGTACTCCAGGTCCTCTGTCAGCCTCTGCAACATGGAGAGCGGCTCGTTGAAGTTTACCTGGATGGGAGTAAGTAAGGGTTAGCAAAGCAAGAGATGCCAATCCAGGCGCTTCACCCTTTGCCTTTTCCCCCAGCACGGTGCCCTGCTGACTGCTGGCATCCCACACATTTGGTTCTCCAAGCACAGTGTGATGCACCCTGAGAGTCAGGGATCCAGGGTGGACAGAAACCAAAGCAGCAGCCCCGCAGGGCAGCCCGCAGCACGGGGTTGGACGTGCCAAGGTCTGCTGCCCACACACTGCCTCTGCAGCATCGCACGAATGTTAAATAAAGGCAAGAAATGGGTCCTCTGCTGCGCTCCCTGAACTGCACCATGAGGGCTTTGAAGTTCCCAGCTGAGAAGAGGTGTCCTGGGGAGCCAGCAGCCCTGCGAGCCAACCGGGTATCACAGAACCATAGAATCACAGAATCCCAGGTTGGAAGGGACCTCAAGGATCACCCAGCCCAACCTTTCTGGGCAAGAGCACAGTCCAGACAAGATGGCCCACCACCCTCTCCAGATGAGGCTTCAAAGTGCCCAATGTGGCAGAGTCAACCCCTCCCCTGGGGAGATTATTCCAATGGGTGACTGTTCTCATGGC